TATTTTATTAAAAAATGAATGGATAAATATACTTATCAGTATTAATCAATTTACGATTGTTTAACGAGGTCGTAAAGGGAAAATATTCAAGATATTAATAGCCTAAGCATTTCGTGTCTTATTTTAAAATACCAATTGGTATGGTATAGCTATGCAAATTTAATATTTTTTTTTTTAGAAACATCCGTTTTGTCGATTTATAGTAATGTAGTTGTCGTCGTCGTATGCATAGGTTGTGTACCTTTATAGACTATATCGTCCGATCGCAAAGATCGTGTATTCTTAGTTTTTTATGTTGGAATTATTTATTTATAAAAGTTGAGAAATATAATTGCACCGTTTTATATAACCAAATCTTTGGTTTATTGATTTATCCATCACCAAATTGATAAATATAAACCGTCTCTTCGACGTATGGCAATTAGATCTTGAAAAAAATACGTGTCCCGATAATTTCATATAGTTAGACTTACAAAACATGCAAATTAGGCCGACGATATTCGTTCTGTTATTTTCGAAGTTACACGGTACCTTATCAGTTTTCGAAAACAAACTGAACATCCGCAAGCCAATTTTTGTCCACCGTGTTATACAAGTTTGAGCATGAAAAGTTGTGCGTCGTCAAAGTTCCAATTCGTTCCAATCGTTCTTGCACGAATGGAAATACGTACGCGGGAAAAAAGCCCGAGAGATATCAATAGAGCGGACCAGGTTTAAGATTCGTTCAGACGTGCGCTTACAAAAATATAGGCGCCGGTGACAGACCGAGTGGATTTTCTTCTATTTCAAACGACAAGAAAACCATTCGGTCATTCGCTCTAGGTTTCATTCGAACTGTCCCACGACTCGCCAAACCACCGAAGGGAAACGCTCGGCTGCGAACGACTACCGTGTCATTTCGTCCTGGCCTGGGAAAGTAGCGTGTTTTTTGCGTGAGTAATTCTACCTTTGGCAGCGACGGCGGCAGTCCCGTTCTTGCAGTCACCGCCGGTTTACGCGTTAATATTAGTAAACATTATTACTGCAATAAAAACTCGCGGAAAAACATGAATTCTTTATTCTCGGATGGATACAATTGTCTCCAGTGCAGTGATCAAACAGTCGATCAAGAAACTTAACTTGAACACTTGACTCGAACCTTTTGACTTTACGTTTGATTAAAAACGATATTTATATATAATGCATGTTGTACAGGTACCGCGGACGAGCCATTCATTATTCGTCCGGATTTATTTTAGGCACGTGAATTATGCACGGTTTTCGGTCGGCACACGACGTGTTCGCAAAGTTACTCAGCAATTCGCCCCTTATGTATTATTTTCCCGTTTATAAATAAATATCTAAAGAACGAGAGTGTAAGAAAGTCGTATATCCAACGATCGGTGTTCCGTGCACTTTTCTGTCGAGAATAGCTCTTGGTCGGGCGAAGGGGGGGGGGAGAGAAACAAAAACTGATTCCAAACAAATACATGAGTGCGCAGTAAGTAGAACACTTTACCGTCGGCTGAAATCGCGTCGATATCACTTCAAGAGAGCAAGGAAACAACGACGGGACTTGGGTTAAGTTCGAATCGTCACGAAGAGCAATACGTTTATGGGCCGGTCATTTGAGGCGTCACGCGCGGTAAAAGGATAATGCACAGTGTCCGGGTCGACAATTTCTATAGATTATATTTTTCGGCGTTTGTCCGTGTGTAAATTAGGGTTCCCAGCTAGTGTTATGACTCGAATACTATTCTTTCCCTTCTGCAAAACTTGGGTCCAAAAAGGAACTTTCCGCGCGTACGTACGTAGGTATATTATTATAGCTATTATACCGTTCGTGGCCGATAACTATTTCCCGTGTTTCAGCCGCGTAAAACCTCCCTTATCGCAGGTGACCACTGTATTACGTTTACGTTTTTTGTACCCCTTCTTGGCATTGCCCAGACTACGCGCATTATCGTTTCGTCCCCGATTCACGCCCAGTTTCAAGCATTTTATTGTTACGCACGTTTGTACGATTACGTAGCAACGTAATACTTTCAGCGTACGTTGCGACGGTCCACGATGAAATCACGAGGATAGGCTCAAAATTAATGCACTTATACTTGTAGAACGTGAACAAAAAAAAAAAAAAAAAATCCCTACGTACGTGGATCGCAGCGTTCTGCGCGGTCACCTTTCGTCGCGTTTCAATCCCGAATAACTTCCGCCGTGATGTACCGCATTCGTAAGTGCAGAAGACAAAAAATCGTTAACCATCGATATATCGTAATTTCGATACATTGCATACCCAATATCAATACCACGATATAGCGACTTCGTGTATCGATATTTTCGATAAATCGTTTCCGTCCATATTCACGAGAGGTAGTATAAAGAACAACGCAGGTGCCGCAACCGCTACTGACGGACCTTTGGCGAACGGTAACCGTAGTGATCCTCCAGTGATTCGTGCAAATGTTGCAAGCACCTCGTAATGAATGCAAGTGTATTTGTGCACCAAGGACGTACGTAATCGAGGTTCGTGCGATGTAATTCGTACACGAAAATACTATTGACAAATGATGGGTCCTTACGTCCGTCCTGGCACATCAAGTCCCGGAGAAAGTTTGAATCCGAAGACCGACCGAATGTACGATTGCAGTTCGTAATCTAACCATCCTGAGCGGCGTGCCGAGGTGGAAAAAAAAACAAAAATCGGCTAAATTGATCGTTAAAATGGGTACGCACGGATTAACAGTGCGTGTATGTTAGTAAATAATTGTCGCGGAACGACAAACGTTTCCCAACAACTTTATTCGCCGCTGGTGTCGGCGAGTTTATTTGCTTCTCGAACCCGCGTCGTATTCCATCGGTATACGAAAAAATGTTATAAATAACGGAAGCGAAGGACCCTCGAAAAAAAAAATCGCTTTATGATGATGACTGAATCATATAGATGTGTTCACCACGTTCTAAATAATACGTATTGTACAATATAAATGTGTACATAAAGTACGATTAAGTATTATGTATAGTTTTTAATTTTTTATTATTTGAATATTATCGCAGTTTAAAGTTTATTTGTGTTGTAAATATAAACACATGATGATAATATTGCACGCAGTAACTGGAGACTCAAAGTTTATTTGGTATCGGATTGAATGCTTTTAATATTTTATTTTTCCCGTTCATTCGACGTGGGCCAGACATCAAAAGCGTGCAAAATGATAATAATTCTATTATAATGCATGTACACGATATGTACGAGATTCGATTTAAAGGCGTTCGCAAAATCCAATTGCAGCGGCAGCATCGTTGCGGAGGATTATTACAAAATTCGTACAGCACGGGTTTCGGAGAAAAGTTGCTTACAAAAGATATTCTAAATAATCATCGATTCCAAAGGATTGTATAATAATAATGAGGAGGTCCATCGAAAACACGATATACGAACGAATTACGCCAACGATTGTCGTGTTTTCCATAACATCAAAGAGTACATCCTTCGATAAGGGAGTATTTTTTTTATAATTTTTTAATTTTAATTTTTTACACTCAATTAACGTCCTTACCGACGTCGAACGATCATTATCGACGGACTGAGTATTCCCGTGCACAATAAAATATTTGCAAGAGGAAATCGAACGCGCAACGTAAACGTTATCGTAGGCTTCGTATCGATACGATTATCCGCACGATCATGAGCGCCAACTCAGTATTTTAGTGTTGCTGCCATAAATTCCGCTTGACCTCGTTTAAATAGCATTAAAAAAAGGAACAGACGATATATTAAATTAATCGAAAAACGATAACACCGTCACACCTTGTACACAACACTGTGTGAGATATCGCAATCGGATACGTATACTATTAGACAACATAATACCGAGTGGGCGAGCACTGCACAGTTTCTCCTCGCACCACAGTCACGTTTTTCATTCCCTTCCCACATGGTTATTATTTATTTTTACAACGACGTAAAAAGCCGATATTTTATTTTCGCATCGGGTCGTCCACCCTATTATTATATGATTCGAATCAAGTCAAGCTTCGACCGCGAGAGTACGGGACAGATCCCCGCAGGATTAATACCTTCGACACATGATCTTACCTAGCCATTGGTCGGACGGCTATCAGACGTACCGTGGTCAAAGTTGTTGGTCAAGCCGTCGCAATAACTAATCGAAACATCGACGACGCGCGACGACACGGCTCGGCCGTCCGGTCAATTACCGAGATTGGTGTCATACGAAACGCGATCGTGTGACGTAGCCACTGTTTATGTTTGTTCGGTAACTCGACCGTTTCGGCACAGTTCGATTCCCTTTTCTATCCTTGCTCCTCTCCATTTGCGAAGTTTCCCCCCATCTCATTCCAAAACACTCAGATCGATCTCGTGGTATTCGAACGACCCCAAACGAGCTTTAGGTCTCGAACGTCACTCGATATACCGCGTAATAAACTAAAACAACTAAATCAGTAGTTTTTCATGGATAGTAAAGAACTGGGGTTCCCCTCCCACCGATTATTTGTGGCAATCGCTGTGTTACGCGGAACGGATGCTTGTTTGAATACATTACATCAGTCATTGACAAATGTATCGACTGTTGAACGAAACGAACGCGGTTTGATTAAATTAATCTCTACACGTGACTTGATACGATAATTGTTTTTATGTGCCTCTAAACGGTAAGAACACAACATTCGGGGAACACAACAGCACAACAGTAGAAGCATCGAAAACCGTGGGTCTATTCACGGGTTTAGTGTGGGAAGTGACAGAAATTCACTTGAAAGCGAGAATGGTTGGGCGAGGCCATAAAAGGGATAGCGGAATATTTTGTTACACGTTTACATAATTTATTTTTTTATTTTTATTTATTTATTTATTTTTTTTTTTGCTGAAAATCGACTTTTATAGCCGCTGGATATTCCGGGAAACGTGTCACGTCAATCAAGAGGAGGAAAAGACACAAATGGCTCTTACATTTATATTAATAGCGTAACGAACGGTGCAGTGTACAAGTACTCACGTTTGACCAAGTCCCTGGATCCGGTGCGCAGCATCAACGGTTGTCCGTTTTCACGCCTCCACGTGATCTTGGGCTCGGGGTTGCCGGTGGCATGGCACGAAAGCGTTGCGTTTTCGCCTTCCATCAGCGTCAAGTCGGCGCTCGACTCGTCGGTGATTATGTCCGGCGGCACTGGAATAAGAGATACGAGCAATTAATATACTATCACGAAACACTACACTTAGTCATTACGGTTGATCGACTTGAGGTTTTAGATTCAAAAGATATGTAAAAAAAAAAAAAACAATCTCGTGAGTGATCACTTGACAAAATCGAATAGTATGATTATGGATGAACACCTGAATGACGTGACAATTTTGTTGCCTGCACTTTTCGATCAAATTTCCTTAGATTCTGAGATCCAAGTTCGACTTTCCACCACAACAAGTTTCCTTCAAATTTTCAATGCAGATTCGATAAAAGTTATACGTGTATTTAAAATTTATAACAAACACATATCTTGTGAACGTGCACGGTTTCACCTCGTCGTGTACAATCGTAACGATTGGATTACGAACAACAAACATTTTTGGTTCGTCGATAAAACGGTTTGATTTGTATAAGTTATGAAATTCGCAAATTAACGATTGTATATTCTGAAAACACAAGAAAACACACTTTATGCACCGTGGAAATGGCAAATTTTATGGCTTTTGTATGTTTATTTTAATTAACTTTGCACAATGAGCTTACATAACGTTTAGTTATGGACTTCTCTTTCGCTCGCTCCCTGATCGTTGCTACCCCGTGACCGTAACGGAAATAACAGTAACACGTAGACTGGAGGAAAATGATTTTATTTTCTAGCTGTTGACTGCTAGGTTAGCTGTCATCACGACACGATTATTCTAAGCCGTGGTATATTACTAGCTATTTTTATTTATTTAACGTATAAAAGAACCTTTGGAACTGCAAAGGCAGAAACACACACGTTACCTGTGGTATTGGTTGGTTTTTTTTTTTTTTATATTATGTTGGTTTTATTTTTTTTATTTTTTTCTTTCGTTTTTAATCACGATCGGTATTGACTCACATTGTTATCGTTATTTCTGTAAATTGATATCTGTATCCTATGCCCAACGGGTGTTTTTTTGTTCATAAATAGATAATTATAATAATAATAATAAAAACTTAATGAAATCGAACGTAGTGCACAGGGAAAAATCATTACGATTCGCAATTAATTTTAACGGCTACATCTGACATTTCAATAGAACGTTAACGCGGCGCCGTTAGCCGTAGTTTTTTCTTCTGGTACCCGTTCCCATGGATTTTATGTTAATTCGGGTCTAAATTCATTGCGCGTTCCGACTTCACTGGTTCGGAACACGTGAGCACCGTACGCACCGGTACGTGTTGCCTCGATCGCGCGCGAATTCGGCGAGTTAAACGTAATCCTAATTTAATTTACCGGTGTGCACACTCGTCAAACGTACAGCCTCTGCTCGGATCTAAATGTGTAGACAGAACCTACCACATTTCGTCGGCTCAACTGGAACGATCGCGATTACGTGCTGCTGCGGATTCGTAATTGTTATGCACCACGCGCAGTCAACGCATAACGTGCACGAAAAACGGACACGATCTCGTCGTCGGGAAATATTACCACTGGGTGGGTTTAGGACGCGTGTGCGGACGGTGTTCGGGGAAAAATGTACCACGGGATCGGTGTACGGTTAACAGCAATCTGTTGCGATCGAAGGGCGAAATTGTACGGTCGCAAGACTATTTTACACCGGACTGCGTAAACGTGATAAACACATGCGTTATCGTTGTTTAACGATCGGTGGTAAACCTGTTTTTTACCCGTTATTTAGAATTAAAATACTGGAACACGGTCCGATTATCTGTTATAATAATCAATTATTATATGACCGCATTCCGCAGCTCAATAACTTCGTGGCGACAAAACGTAACCGAAAGTTTTCGCATAACAGTGGTTTCTGGTGAACCGCACAAAGTAAAACAATATTAAATAAAAGGAAAAAAAAAACTCGAATGCGAAATCATTATCAGCAACGTGCACGTTATGCATTCGACATGGACGGTTCTGAGCAACTGTAGGCGGTATCGACTTCGAATCGAAATCGATCGGAAATCGGAATAACACTGACGCGCCGGGTCTCCGGGGAATATTTCACGGTACACATGATTTTTAATACTACCAAATTCGACACGTTGAAAAACTATAAAATCACATGCCTTACAATGCGCAGTAGGCGAATCGGACCTAGGCCGGCGCGGCAATTGCGGTTGGGCTTGTCTTTAGTCTTTTCGACAATAGCATCCGATAAGAAAAAATAACGGCATAACACAATGAGTTGTTCCGTGATGTAAACGTTGTCCCATGCTACGGCTCGCACAACCGATAACCGCTTTTTTGCACTCGATCGAAACGAAACCACGTGTTTGTTTGTCGCGCTTTGCGCTGCTCGAAGCTCGTGAGCTCTGGTGTACACACCGCCGTAGCGAGTATATTTATTCGCTATGCGCAAACTGGCATTCGTTAGCGGACATCCAAATCTAAGGGGGGAGGCAAACGCGCCGGCCGAAACGTTCGCGAATCCTTTTTAAAGCGCCCACGGATTTGATCATTTTATTTTTTATTCCTAATACGAGTCATGTTTGAATTAATTATTGGGCGCGGATAAAATTAATTTTATTCACCCCCGCAGCAAAGAAGTGAGAATACCGGAAGAAAAAGAAAGGAAAAGAAAAGAAATCAACAACAATAATGACTAATCTGTACCAAAAAATTATTTTTATAACGTACGTATCCCCAATCTCCTCCCCACCAAAGAAATCATCATACGAATTGAATTCTTGAATCGTGCAGTATAAAACATAAATACTTGATTATTTACATTAGGAGGGGCTGGAGATATATGTCGTCAATCCCCTTCTGCATTTTCGATATTGCTCGAACACTGGTGTCGTAAAAATTCTAAGGACCGTCTAACAAGTTCATGCAAACTATGTACAAAATATTTGAATAGAAATGTTCAAGAATTTCTTAGGAGGGATGGTGTGTAGGGGGGGGGGGTTGCGTACGTATTTTTATGTTCGCTACCGCGGGGTGCGTGATGCACGGTGAGAAAGAGAAAACGCTTGAAATCGGTTCGGTACGATTATCGTTGTTATCACTATGAGCGCACGGTGTAATTTTACCCCGGTAGAACCGTTCGTTTAACGTTGGTCGAACGCTTGCGGCGAAAGTGACCGGGTGCCGTGGAGTTTTTGACAACGTCATGGTTATACGTGTTCACAAAAGGGGGAAGTTTAAGGGTTCAAACCCTCCTACTTCTCCGAAATCCAGGAAAACCGTCGGATATATTCTTACGGGGTAAAAGCAGTTTATAAATTATATATGAATGAAAACGTGCAACCTAAACCTCCCTGCCTCCAATTTTTGTACACGTAGCAAACAAGCAAGCAAGTTTTTGCTCTCGAAAAATCGTTTCGCGTGTGAGAGCTAGCAGATATCGCGTGAGGACACGTTGAACTAAGCGGGGCACACGTGGTGTTTTGTGCGCAATGCAAGCTAATCTGCGACGACACAAATCGAATTTACACACGAGCGCACGAAAAATAACCAGAGAAACAAAGGAATCTTAGTCTTACTGCGGAACAGGACGAACGTAATATTTACCAGCGACATCCTTTCGAGCAATAACATCACGTAGTATCGTATGAACACTCACGTCGTGCAAGTTGTTCTCTTTACGAGTGTCTCGTCGAGATCGGGGTGAACCGTATATTTTCCCCATGTCAATCATTACGTTCCAGTCAATATTTATAAGCTCCCGATAACAAGTTTTATGATTTTAATATGCGTAAACGTACACGCACATACACACGACACACGATATTATATACAGTAAAACATAATAAATAGTTGTACTTGTTAATTACCGCTAATTAAAATGTTCTCCCGTTTTTTCCCCTCCCGGAGCTTCACTCTAATTATTTTTGTATATATATATGTATAGATATATATTTTTAGATGTAATTAAAATGTGGAATTTTGAGTTTATATAAAAAAAAAAAAAAATGTGTATTGTTCCTTCTTCGGCTAACAATGGCTTTTAACAACCATCGTCGTTTGGTATCCAATGAAAAAACACCGTTAGAGTGTATTCATCATTCTCCGATTATAACAAAAAAGAAAAAAAAAACATCAAGAACTTCTTTTTAACGAACGGTGAAGTATTATAATCTGACTATGCGTCGATGTGTGAATTTAATAAATTAACAATTTCAATTACGTAAAACGTTTACGAGCGATTTGAAAGATTTGTTTAGCGTTTTCATGCCTATAGTAATCACATAATTTACTTTAATTAGAAGGAGTTTATTTTAAACCCTGAAAACACTATAAACAATTTTCTTCGTTTAATTTTAATAATCATTTTGGTAATAATGTTTATTGAGAGGTTGTGTCAGCAAAATTACTTCACTTGAAACAACAACAATTAAAACAATAATTTATAAGTATAATATTACAATAATTAAAAGTAAAATTATTTTATATGCATAAAAATCGATTGAAATATTTTTCTATCAGAAAAAACATTTCCTTTTGAATTCGCGTAATTGTATTAAAAAAAAACTAATAATGAAAGAAAACACAAAAATACATAGTTCACTATTGTATACGTTATTATAATAATTTATATATTCCTGACGTGCGGTTGAAAAGGGTTAAGTCAGATTTTCATATTTAATTATATTTTCAAACTACAAAACAAACAGTTCAATTTTTCGGTGGTTAGAACACTTGTAACTTCCTTTTTTTTTTTTACCGATCAACAACGATCATTGCATTATAGTATTGCTGGAAAAAAAATTCTAAAGAACTTAATAATTTTATCGAGTTAGCTTACGCAAAATCATTATTTTATATTCACCGTATTATTTACTACAATATCGTAATAAGATAAAGTCTTGATTATAGTATGAATAATTTTTCCTATAGTTTCGAATCCTATCGACTTAATGATTTATTAAGTAGCGTATATGATTTTATTAAAATACACAGATAATAATCTTATATCAAGTAAAAATGTTATACTATTATTGTCAATTTATGGAATTTAAAATAAAATAATAAAAAATATATTTAAGAAATTATT